GCTCCTTTCATTTGGATTTATAATATCAAAGAGCTTCACCATATAAGGTAAAAGGTCTCAAATAATACTTTTGGCTCTTCTTAAAGTGAATATGACTGAGGTAAATACCAATCCAATCTAAAGGAAAATGGACAATGAGTTAAGGTTAAACTAATTTTGACATAGTCGCTGTCCCTTCTAATCTAAGATCAGGTGAAAAGCTACTTCAGGTCTTGTTGGTGATGGTTGTAAACATGTCAAAGTTAATACTGATTGCTATTGTGTTTGTAGGGATTAGTGCCTTCATGAAGTGATTCTGTGAGTCTGCAGTTGAACTACAGTAATTTAAGTAGTTCTTGTGGACGTTAAACTGTCACTTACACATTGAACATACTCAGGTTCTTCCATTATTTTTCCATGACGTTTTTTCCTCTAAGTGGGATTCCAATATTTCCTAAATGATTCTAATCTAAAAGTATCTAAACTTAATGTTTCTTCTTTGATGTTCAAACATTTGGACCTTTAAAATATCCATAATTGCATTGCTTATAATCTTGGTTCAAATATATAATATTTGATCCACTTATACTTGATGGATGCTTCTACTGGCAGGATGTCAGGTTTGAATAAGATGAAATGAAATATAACTCAGTGTGTGCATCGCGGCTGCAGCTGAACGTGAGAGTGGATATTGGATTAACATTAATCTGTGGACACACCCAAGTGTGTTCTCCTGTGATAGTTGCTGTTTTCCTGTTTCTTAAGGGCTGCTTGGTATTTTCTTGCCTCCTTGTGGCCCAAATGCGCTTAAATCCTTGTTTTAAAAGCTGTACTGTGAGTTCAACGTTGTCTTCGTATGTTTGTCAGTGTTTCCGCGCACGCACACACACACATATTGCAAATGTGAGGGTTTTATTGCTGGGTATGTGCTGGACGTGAGGCGGTGAAACAGTGAGAAGCCTGGTGGTGTTCTCCTTTAAAGCCATTCAGCAGTAATGGGATACCTCATGCCTCTGGCACTGTGCCAGCGATCAATGCGCTCTAACACACTGCTGCCCGCTTTCGCAATGGCTGCCATAGCTCCTGCTCCACCCTGCTATACATCACTTCCTCCTGCATTCACATGCCGTCATATATCACACTCTTCCTCTCACCTTCTGCGTTTCCTAATACATCACTTCCTGGTAGCCATTTTTTTCCCTTTGTTGTTTTTACAGTTTCACCTCCTCTGGGCCGAGCAGCTCTGAGCCCCATTACCAACAGTCTGAAACTCAGCTCCAGCGCTTGGCTCGCTCACAAACGGAGCCGGCGTGTGTCAGGGGTTGAATGGCTGCATCATTTACTTATTAATTGGTCTGAATTTCGCTTCTCAAACTGGAATTGCCTGAGCATTAACACTCTTAATGTATATTGGGGGAAATGAATGATCCAAACAATAAAAAAAGTAGGGAAATTAGACGGAATTAAAAGTGGAACAAAAGGCCGCTCTGAAGGAGCTGAGTTGCAGACCAATAAAAAGGAGAGAAAAAGCCAAGTAGAGGTCTCTCTCTCTCTCTCTCTCTGTGCCTCTCTCTCTCTCTCTCCACCTTCTCCCATTTCGACATGTTTCTATTGTTTTCCCACCACGGACATTTCAACACAAATACATTCAAATCAACACAGAGTAACAAAATGTTGTTTTTCCAAAGTAAGTACAGTTACATCAACAAGTGACAACATATACACTTGGTAAAAAGGGGAAGCAACTTGAGAGTGGGTCACATTTGCCACCTGGAATCTTTTTTTGTTTCTAGTTTTCCACCAATAGGGTTAAAGGTGGTTATCTAGTGATTTCGTTTGTTGCTGTTTTTTGTCTGGAAAAGGGGGCATGTCTCCCTCTTTTCTAGTAGGGAGTGAAGCGACTGCACCCTCCTCTGTAAAGGCTAGCCTGCAACATCAAAGATGAAAAAGCTCCAATCAGTATTCAGTGTAGAACCTGAAGTCTTTGTGAAATGAATATTGAAAAGTAACGTCTCTCTCTCCTCCAAAGAACCCCTTCCTCCCTTTTCCCCCTGCTTGATTCTCATTTAATTGAGTGGTATTTTGTTCACGGGGGCCAGTTAGGGACAATTTTTGCCAGATGAAGGAATGTGATGGTACCATTTGCTGTTTGCCCAGGAGAATGGATTGATGTAGTTTGTCTTCTTCAGACTCAATGTTAAACAAAAACGGCGGTGGAATCCTTTAGCACATTCTGTCATAGATCACCTTTAAGATATTCCTCATTGATCTGCTATTCCATGAGTCACACACTGAATCCCTAATTGTCTGAGCAGATACTGTACGTGCTGAAGGCGAGAGGAGGCAGGAAGCAGCCGAGGCGGGAGAAGCCCGAGCACCCGCCGCAGTTATGATGGTGTTTTACGAGTCATGTCAAGCCAGAAGACAGATCCAAATATTCATTTCTTAGCGTTTAATCTCTAATGTGTCATTTAACAGCGTAAATGAGTTTAATGAGGCAAAAAGCACTGCATATGAAGCTTGCAGCCATCGGAGTGTATTTGAATACCCCCCGCACCCTAAAATTCCGGAAGATTTAATTAATGTTTTTTTTTTTTTTCAGACAAACACGGTAAGATCGCTTCCTTCAGATGCAGATAATCATTTTGTTTTATATCTCCTCTCAGCTGCTCCCTTCAGGTGTCACCACAGTGGATCATCTGCCTCCATCTCACCCTCTCTGTCCCTCCACTCCTCTACTGTTACTCCAACCATCTCTATAACAACGACAACAGAAACTATTTAATAGGACTCTCCCTCTGGCTGCACCTACATTCTGGCTACACTGTGTCTGGATTCCCGAAACTCCTCTCAGAGATCAAGACGTGTTTCAGGATACATAAGCTAATGTATCCTGATGTCATGAATGTCTGATTCAATAGCCACTAGAGAATTGTGGCATCTACACCACTTTAATTAAGTGGATCACATACAGCCTATAGTATTAGTCCTATGTTATCCACTAGTTACCAGAATGTGGGCAACACAGTGAAACTAAATTGTGACCCACATTCTAGAAACCCAATAACCTAGGTGGCCCACTAAAGGGTTATGGATAATGGTTACTGGAATTGCTTCATGTTTGTTAAAATCATAGAGCGTACATAAGAAATGGATTTTGGATATAATTAATATAAGAGATAGAGGAAATTATCAGCAGTACTTTGTTGGTTCCAGACTACTTCAAACTGGATTTGTAAGTAAATATTAACAAACATTTCCTTTGCAACCACCTGCTCCTGATCATTAATGTTTTAATCTACTGAATATTTATATTTAGAGAAAAATGGAGAAGACCCAGAATTAGCATTTTTGGTTCAAAAGTGCTCAGAAAACTAAAAAGATTTTAGGACATGAGGTAAGAAGTAGCCTGTTTTTCAACTGACTTTTACTTTTATAGTGCTACTTTAGAGCAGTGATAATTAACTGGTGGCCCCATGAATTGATTCTAAATGAGAGAATTTAAATTCATTTTATTTGAGAGTCCGGCCCCCAAAGTGTCTGTCCAGAACAATTGTGGCCCTCCGACAAATATAGTTGATGACCGCTGCTTTAGAGCTACTAAAACCAGTGGACCACTTATATTCCTTACAGTCCATTCTCAGTCTATGAACAAAAACAACCCTCATTTAGTTTCCTTTGTAGCCACAGCACTAGGTTAAACAACTGTTGTTCGTGTTAATAAAGAGTCACATATCAGAACCATTAACATCATTGGTTTTGATGATGTTTCTCGGCGTCTCTCTGTGTCTCAGTGACTCTGTCAAATCTTTGTGCTTTCATCAAGTCTGGCTCCGAATTTGAGGCAGGCCAAAGTTTGAGACAAAGTTTTGGATGTTATTTTATAATGTCGAGAAACAAGAGATTTAAAAAAAAAATTGGAGCAAGAAGTTTGGACCGCACATGGGAGAATGAGGGGAAAAGGGGAGGAGTAATTTGAAGAAAAAAGAGAAGAAAGTGTTGAGTAATAAGGAGGAAAACACAGGCCACTGTTTTAATTAAGTAAATGAAGAGGAAAAAATGGTTGTAATTAATGAAGGCTTTTAGCTAGCAGCTGCACTAGGAGGGGAAGGAGGTTGGGAGGGTGTCTGGGGGAGGAGGCACGGGGAGGCGGTGGTAGGGCTTTTCGCTTTCCATCACTACAAACATGTCAGCACTCAGCATTAACCCTCATCTGTCTTCAGTCCAAGATGCTGCACTAAGCAGCAGCTCTGGCTGCAGCCAGTTTCCGTCGACAATGTTAAAATTTTCCACTCCGTCGATTACTTTTTTCTCCACTCTTGTCTTTTTTTTTCTCCCCTTTTTTTCTACTTTAATCTCCCATAGCACATTGAATCATGTACTAGATGGCTGTTAATCTTTGGAGGAAGTCCGACCCACACCCTTAAAAGAAAACAAATTGTATTTTCACTTTCTCATGGCTTGCTCCGATTTTGTTCTTTAGAACGTTTTTTTTTGTTATTTGTTTTCATCTTTGATGTTAGCTGCAAAGCTAGCTAAAAACAAACATTAACCATTTGACTCCCCTTGAAAAAAAACTTTTTTTTTGTTTTTTGAAGAGACAGTTTCCTGTAGGGAGGGATTCTCAGTCTCAATTTGATTTTGAGCAAATACTATTCAGGCCCATGAAATTGAATAGGGGGTTTGAGAATAAGGAAATGTCCCTTTTTCATTTACTAAAGTGGCAAAGATTCACATTAAACATTGAAATGTCTCCCTCACAGGAAAAACTCAAAGACACAACAAGGAGAAAAACATGGAATAATCGCTACGATGTTCCATGACTGTGAGAGTTAAGCACATTAAAAGACATCTTTACTGTTACTGTCAAGTGTTCAAGCGTCTACTGTAAAGCTATTCACGGTGCATCATAAATGATTGTGCAGCTCAGTGGTGCTGCGCCCAGCTCATCATGATATCTCTCACACTCTAATATCATATTCAAATGGTCAGCAGGAGAGAAAAACAGGAAACTGACTCACCATAGTGCCTACACTGTAAGTGGCCGCAGGACCGATCGTGTGGTGATATGGGTCTGCTGTTGCATAGACTCTGCCATAACTGTGGAGAAGAAAACCGGCGGAAACTGAGTTAGACGCAACAAAAACAGTTTCCAACAACACAGCAGAGAAAGTGCGGCTGTACAGAGCTCCTCCAGAAGGCCTGACAAAACAGTGTTGTTAGACACAAAAATAGTTCCTCACTTTCTAAGTACTGACCCGAGGCCACTGACCTATTTTCACTCATTTCCATTCTTGAATCTAATTATAAAGCTAACTATAAAACTAGAACATGAGCTGTGGAAAGTGCAGGCTTCTGCCAAGGCAGTGAAGAGAACTATTTTTGTTTAGTCATCTGTTCTGCACCTCAATATGCAGCAGGGACGTCCAAACTTGTATTCATTTATTATTTTTTCAAACTTTTGTTATCCGAAGCAAAGTGTGATGAAATCAACACAACTACACTATTAGTACAAACAATTTATCCAGTTTTAACAGATAATAAAAATACAACTAGCACAGGGAGTAACTGGGAAAGCAAAAGCTGCGAAAATCTGGTCAGGAACATCGCAAAAACTGCTAAAAATTGTAAAAATAATGCTAATGTAGATAATAGTTATAATACAATAAATATAAAAACTGTTTACATATGAAGGGAATAAATACATACGTTAGCTACTGTAAAAGACAACCAAGTGGTGAGGTGCTGTAATCAGTAGGTAGCCTAGCTGGATTAACATTAGCCTCAGAGTAACAGAAAGTTAGTCCATTGTCTTAAATCAGTCTAAAAGTAGGAAAGAGAAAGTAAAAAAAAAAGAGACAACAATAGAGGAACAAGTTTTTTCAGAAAAAGACAGCACAGAATAATAAAAAAAAGCCTGTTAGCTACTGTCAAATTGAAAAAATATAAATGGAATAATATGTTGAAACTTTAATGAATAAATCAGGAAAAACTGAGTTGAGGAACACATATTCACAATTAGTCATAAAAATAAAATGTAAAACATAACATTTTTCTGAAATAAAGGATAAAGCACTATTGCAGCCCAAAATGTTTTTTTTTAGCAAAATAATAAAATGTTCCTTACAGTAGCTTAAAGGTCTGGAGGAGTATATAGAGTCTTTATAAGTAATATACAAAAAGATTTACAAAATAAAGCCAAAGTCAATCCAAAATAAAGAAAAAGAAAAAAAAAAAACAGTTATAAAAGTGAAAATAACAAAGTCACTGTGGTTGCAGTGGACCTCGTCTGAAAATGGAAAATATTTTCCCAAGAAGAAAAATAAGAAGTTTTAAGAAGTTGAGGCCAAAGTTAACTTGTTAAGGTGTAATGCCTGGCTCCTGGGCTGGAGTTTGACCACTGCTGACATATATTGAGTCACAGAGTCAGAGACCAGACCTTCGGTTTATGTGTTTGGCCGTTTATTATCTTAACGGTCAATAAAACAACAGTTTGTGTATGGTTTGGGTGTTTTATTGTCCTTTTTTTGTTTTTTATTGAAGTGCTCCTCTTTTATGATTTATATTGATAATCAGTAACAATAAATATCAAACATGGTTAATAAAGCACATACACGGAATGACTTGATTTATGTGACCGTAGCGAACTGTAAATCATGAATTAAACCGTTTTAATAGGACACAATACTCATTCGGTGGGTCTTCTCGTCAAAGCTGCAGCGTGTTTACACTTTTGTCAACAGTCTTTGAACGTTCTCGCAGCGAAGAATCACATTTTGCGACTTTGGAGGCAGCAGTGTGGAAACTGGAGGCAAAATTGTACTCACAAGCCACACAAAGAAAACACTATGTTATTGTCATGCTAATAACAAACACTAATAAAAAGGTTGGTGGCCGCGGGGTATTGTGATACCCCCGTAGTATTTACACCCACTGAACACAGTCTATGAATGCACTGCAAAGATCAGGACCTGCATTTTCCAAGTCTGACAGTAGCCCTCGAGGGAACTGTGCATAAAAGTTGCCTAAGATTAAAAACGCTCCTATTTCAGAAGAGAACATTAGAGTTCTACTTTAGAAACTCTGTGAATGAATACACCCATGGCCCAGGCTCCATTTTCTACAACATCAATGCAGGGCAAGATCAACTTGCTCAGGGACCACGGGGCAATTTTGAACAGAGTGCTCCTATTGATGTTCTTAAAATATCCTTCAGGTGCACACAGCAGCAGCACAGCGCACCGCACATTACAGTATTATGATATTTTTGCACCCAGACCCCAGGAATGATTCAGTGCTGCGCTGATGAAATACAACCTGCCGCAGGTCTGCTGTGTGTGTGAGTTTGTGGTGATTAAATTAAAACCACGGAGTGATCAATAATGAATTGTGTATGGTAATACGGCTCTCCATGCAGCACAGGTTGGCCTGGATTGACTACATTATGAATATGAATTTTAAAAATGAATTGGCTTCAGTGCATTATTATTGCAATACATATTCTGAATGTCTGGCTGAAGTAATGCAGTCTAATGCAGTGCCTACATTCAGCAGCCTCTCTTCCATAAAAGTTGCTACGCCACCTAGAGCACTGATCGTCAACTGACAGCCTGTGGACTGAGTTCAGCCCACCAAGTCTCAGTCAAATATGGTCTGAGACTGGATTTCAAAATAAACATTAAATAATACTTTTATTTAATTATACTGTATATGAATGTCCACCTGCCCTCAAACAGACAAAATATAGTTGGTGACCCCTGACATAGAGGATCAATTTAAGGTGTCTGTATTTAAGAAACACAGACAAGAGAACAGAGAAGATATGTTAGTGTTTTTACTGATTATTAACATTATATATGTTAAACACAGGCTGCTTTAGGATTTGTACCTGCAACAATATCCATAAGAATTAAAAAAAGGGCAATTTAGCAACGGACCTGAGCTGCTCCAGTGGTCACTCAGAGTTTATCATCATGATTCGACAAACTTTTATAATACTATACAGATCTGGACTGCAGGCGGGCCAGTCATGGGCACAAACCATTGCAGTAGAGCCAAATTTTTTTCTGAATTATGTGAAATAAGACTAAAACACAAATCTCTCTGTTGTTTGTTTATCTGTTAAATGACAATTGAAGCAAATTAACCACCAGAATATGTTAGATTTAACTGTATCTTTGAAGTGTACCATCTTCAGGTTTGCTAAATAAAACACAAGTCCATTACAGTGTATTTAGAGACTGTCCAGAGGACAGAGTCAGTGAGGACAGGTCTGCAGCTCCAGGGGACGTTCATGTACATGAGGCCGCAGATTTACACTCTGTGCCATTTTGACTTATTCCCTAAACATAAAACTGTATGGATCCTTTGAACCGGCACAAATCAAGGGGCGAAGTTCATCAGATGGTAAATACCTTTAATTGTTTCCCCTGCCTCCATGCACCAGACACACCTCGCACATGTTGGCTGTGATTGAAGAGCCCTGATAATTGATGGGGAGTGCTAAAATGAGTATGCATGAGACACATAAGGCATTGGGTCGTCGATTTTAACTGAGGTCTGGAGGAGAGATCTATAATCATTTCCCCCTCTCACTCAAGCTAAGGACAGACCTATGGGATGAAAATGCAATCAATGTTTCCCTATAAATGTACGTTGTAAAGGTAAGAGTGTGTGATTGCAATGATTTGTTTTACCCATTTCAATTTATGAGAAAAGGGGGACAAGTGTTTAATCTTCCTTCTGATGGGGAAGGAATGGCAATAAAAGTGGCGTCGGCCAGAAGGAAAAAAAAAACGGGAAATATAAGGAATAAGACGGAGAAGGTGATGGGAATAACAAAAGACTGGCGGAAGGCAGAATGAGATGATGGCAGGAAAACAAAGAGGTAATATTTTAAGTTGTGAAAACAGAGTAAAAAACCTATATAGTAGGCTTGTAAAGTTTAAAGTAGAGAATGCCTTGGAGTCTACAAAGTCAGGATGTAAACTAAAAAGAACAGTTTGAATCCCGGGGAATTTATCTGAGGTTGTTTCATTAAGCTGAGGCTGTTCCTCCCTTTACTGATTTCTTTACTCCACCTGTTCTGTGTCTTCCTCTCTGACATGTATCTCTCTGTCTCGGCAGGTCAATTTCTTTCTCCAAGCACCGACTTGGAAAATACACTCCCTCTGCACTTCCCTCCTTCAGTATTCCACACTTTCCTCTTTGTCTGATGCCACCAATCACTTTATTTATATTCCTCTCTTCCTGTCCTCTTTGTTTATTCTCCTCTGAAAGTAACAGGGAAACGACACAGGTCTGGAGAGCAAAGATAAGTCTGCGTGCTGTAGCCCAGGCCTTAGATTATGTCCAACAGAGCCAGGCCACGGACGGGAGCGGGAGACTACATAAGGAGAGGACGGGCTGTAGGAAGGGTGAGCAGAAGGAAAGAAAGGAAGGATGTGAACAAGGAAGTCTGGGGACACAAGACTTGAGTTTAAAAAGGACAGTGGAAGAGTGGGGACACAAGAGTACTTGAGTTTAAAAAGGACAGTGGAAGAAAGGAAGGAAGGAAGGAAGGAAGGAAGAAAGGAAGGAAGGAAGGAAGGAAGAAAGGAAGGAAGGAAGGAAGGAAGGAAGGGAGGGAGGAAGGAAGGAAGGAAGGAAGGAAGAAAGGAAGGAAGGAAGGAAGGAAGAAAGGAAGGAAGGAAGGAAGGAAGGAATGAAGGAAGAGTATAAAACAAATGATAAAACAAATGTTATGGTAGGAAGTAAGTGAGAGAGGGAAAGAACATGTCATTGATGAAAAACATTGTACAACATTGACAGAAATCAGGTTAGCCATTAAACAAGGAAGCAGAGAAGGGGAGGGAATAAAGGGTCTTAAAAAGAAGGGAATAAAGTAGAGAATAATGGAGAATAAGAATTAAGAGGAGATTGAAGAGTAAAAAACAAAAAGGACAGGAAGAAAGAAAAAAGGAAAGGAATTAAAAAGACAGAAAAGAAAAGGACAGAAAGGGAAAAGTAAAAAGGAAGAGGAAGTGGATTAGTTAGACTGTAGATAATTAAGATAAGTGGAATATTAGGAGAAAAGAAAGGGAGATTGGAAAATGATGAGAGAAAGAAAGAAAGTAAAAATGAATGAATAAAAAAGAGAGAAAGAAAAAAGGAAAGCAAGAGAGAGAGAGAGAAAAGTAAAGCATAAAAGAGTGACGCAGACTCCGACTGCCGAGCATCTTGTGTGCAGAGCTGTCCATGGTGCTGATATCACTACCAGTGTCATTTTAATGACTTCCACTGACAGTTTTAGTGGCCAGTAAATGACTAATGCCCCAGAGCTGGACCGCTGATATAGAAATGTAAGGTTTGATAACGGACACACTGAGGCTGCTGGGCTTTACTAAACTTTAATAAACCATCACAGTTATTAGTAAACTTTACTGTCGGGTCGAAGTTTAATTCCACCACATCATTGTTAAACAACATTAGGTGAGATGTAACAGCAGTATCCGGACCTGATCTGTCCACACGTATAATTCTGATTTCTATATTTAATATAGTCAGGAATTTCAGGTTAGGTAACAGGAAAAAAAAGGCAAGTTTATGTAATGTCCCCAAAAGTGACATAATCCAGCACATGGCAGTGTGACAGTGTGTGTGTGTGTGTGTGTGTGTGTGTGTGTATGCATTTGTGGACTCTGGGGAGACAGAATAGAGCAAGACTCTCTCAGTTGCCAGCTCATTCACTTTGTGTAAGACCTCTTTTATCCAACAATAAATAAAACTCCTTCACAGCCTCCAGCCTTTTACCCCATCTCCTCCCAACTCCACCCCGCTGCCCAGACTTCTCTTTAAATCAGAGGAGCTCAAAAATCGAATGAGACATGCAGCATATAAGATGAGCTGTAGGGAGAGGTGGAGGGAGGTAGAGACTGAGAGAGAGAGAGAGTGAGGGAGTGGAGAAGGATACGCTCTGTGTGAGCCACAGAGGGAGCAGGAATAATGGTTAGAGAGAAAAGGAGGGAATGTGAGAGGGGGGAAAACAAAGGAAATAAAATAATTCTGGGGAGCGACGTGCCCCCCTCACCTGCTCTGCTCTCCTCATAATTCTCCTGAGAACGCTGCTTGCTCCCTGCCTCTGATAAATCTTACATTATCGTAGGCCTACAGGCTCTTGCTGTTCCTTATCAGGCCTGACACGCTCAATCTCCCTAAGATTAGCTCCCCAAGCAGTTTCCTACACACATCAAGACAGCCCTGGTAGAGGGTGCAGGCAGTGCTCACAAACACGTGCGCACGCACACACACACACACACACACACTTCGGATTCTCTCCAAACACATGTCCCTTTTGATCCGGAGGAATCACTAGCACACGGTGTGTTCCCAAAGAGCCGGGGGCAGCAGCAGCAGGCGAGGAGTAGTACTTGTGCTGCAGAGCAGAGCCCACGGCAGAAGAATTGGCAGGGGCAGAGGCCAGGGTGGGGATGATAAGGTAGGGCTCGAGACCCCTTTAAGGTTTATGGATTAAAGGTGAGAGGATGACAGGGCGCTCCGAGGGAACTGACAACTGAAAGATGGAAAGGACCACACTGCTCGCTCGCTCACTCACTCACTCACTCACTCTCTTTCTCTCTCTCTCTCTCTCCTGCTTCTGCGTGTGTGGGCTTTTGTTGTGCATACACACACACACACACACACAGATGTACACATCGTTTCTCTCCTGCAGATAGATGGCAGCAAGTTAAAAGTTCTGCTCCTCATCCTGTCCTAAAAACTGTCAGATTGAATATGGTCTGAGGTCTGAGGACGGAGCAGCCTCTTTACTGTTGCCCACCTTTGATGGTGGACTGACACCGGACCCATTTGGAACAGACTTTCCGGATGAAAATCATGTTCACCCTGTAGCCTTTTGGCTGTAAAAAGTATTGTCTCTGGATTGTACCTCAGATTTTACTCAACTATTCTCTAGCTAACGAATGCACGAATTCGCATTTTTACGTTAAAAAACTACATGTAATTTGCATTAAAAAATCTTGTTAAATGTGTTAAAAATGAAGGAAGCACAATCTATGCCTAATAAGTCACACAGTCATACACACACGTTATTTGCACACACTGGGGAAAAACATTCTTTCTTTCAGTGAAGCAACTTGGGCTTAAAGTCCCATCTTCACACCCAGAATGCATTGCTGCATCAGGCCAGATTAATCGCTTTAAAATCTAGCTCAGCTTCTGTTCTTTTGTTTTGAGCTGACAGATGACAATGATTCATAAAGAGTCTGGTGAGGCAGACCAACACTGTGGTGTCAGCCCACTGCCCTGTTCAGTACATGTGGGGACACACATCACATGACCATCTCTCATCACATGACCATCTCTCATCACATGACCATCTCTCATCACATGACCATTTTGCCCACAATACATTTGATGTCATAGTGGTTCATGTGTTGAAAATGACTAGGATTTCCTGCCAGCATTTTCCATTGTTGGCTAAGGTCGACTCTGTTGACAGCGCAGTGTTAACTAAAGTGTAAAAAGTGGAGTTGTAGCAGAGAGTACTGCAGCTGTGTGATTACTGAAATCAATGTAAACTGGAGAAACTGGCTTGTACTTTGCATATTCATAAAGTCCAATATAACGTCTTTCACACTCATTGCGGCGCACTCCATTATTCATCCTCAACGTTCTTTCATGAAAAAAAAAAAATGAATGAAATAAAGTAAAATGAAGCCGATGCTATCAAGTGTGAAAATGTCCTGTTCCATGAGCCGTGAGCCTGACGTCACCGCATCCACCCAGGGATTTCACAGGTTTTAGTGAGTGGAGAAGGACCTTTTTAAAAATGGAAAGACCATTCATCAATATGTCTGTGCAGCATTTACAGCAGGAACACACGCTGAGCGTACTGTATGTGTGTGTGTGTGTGTGTGTGTGTGTGTGTGCGCAGGAGAAAAGGATGAATACGATTAAAAACATAATTATTTCATGGAGTTAAAAGTTGACGTACCTGTCACTGTAAGCAGCTGCAGCAGTACCAGCTGGCTGGGCATATCTGTACGCTGCATACCCTCCCTGAGGAGACACGGGGCAAATTAATAATCACCAGGAACTAAGAAAAACACAACTTAACAACCAAAGGAAAACAAAAATATATACATATATCAAATTCTCAAAATACTCAGGAAACTTGTTAAACACATGCAGAACATGAAATAAATTCAGATTTGGACTTACGTATATTTCTGCCCCATAAAAGCCATCCTGGTAAACCACACTGTTGACAGAGGAAATCAAACATGATCTGATTTGAGGGAAAGAATTTAGAAGGATCTGTAAACTTTCAAAATAAAATATCTTTTAGACTTTATTCTCTTAGTATTGGGGTATGTATGACATGTTTTTTTTTAATAGAAATGACTCTGGATTCTCTTCGAATGCAGTAAATTATTAATTTTTTCACTGTGTCCAACTGCGGCCTGGCACCAAATAAGCCATGCACTATGACCAGTCTGCAGACCGGGGCTTGAGGACCCCTGCTCTAAACAAATGGACTTAATCTTTAGAACTTTAAAGATGAACCTTTGATTTTTTGTCCTCCAGTTTTCTTTCTCTTAACATAGAGATTAGGAAAACAGCTCAACATGGTTAAGATTTTTTTTTAACTTTAATCTCATTTAGAGAAAAATCATAACATCTAAAGTGTGATTACTGTAAAACACAGATTCCTGTCCTAAATCCTGTTAAAATGAAGGGAACTTTTCTACGAAAATCTAAACGGGGGAGCGGGGGTTGTTACTGTGTTGATCTGTACATTTATGATTCTAAAAAAGTAAAATAAGAACTATATTCCAAAAAGAATTTGAGGATTTAAAATACACGACACAACCCTCACCTCCTGGTCTAATGTAAGTGAACCAGATCAACTTCTTTAAAGTTTCTGGTTCCACTGACTAGTAACAAGTTAACAAGGTGAGTACTAACAAATCCTGCTCTAGTCGTCCTCCTCCGCCTCCTGTCTCTGCCATCTTCTCTCCATTTATCTCCTAATCCACCCCTCTCAAGCCCCTCTCCCAGTCATTTAATCTCTCCTCCCTCTCTCCATGTCTTTTCCTTTTCCACTCTCCAGGTCTGTTGCTCTCTCCACAGCAGACCTACTGGAGTGTGCAGGCCAGGTCGCAGCAGTCCATTCACAGCTGAATAAAGAATGACACATTTGAAAAAAGAGAGACAAATTTGGCCATTCTGGAATCAAAGAGCAATTTTCCGCTCTATTAGAAGGCAGCGCTTTTGTTTTCCACTCACTATTCTCCTATAAATGCAAGTGTGTGTGTGAATGCGAGCCCCCGTGTTTGAGTAATACTGTGAATTAGATTTGTGCAGTGGCGTGTTCTCAGTTGTGGAGACCTGTCATACACTGTTTATTTGATTATGTGTGTTTGTGTCACTCGGACTTGTGCATGTTGCGCGTGTCAGCAGGCACTCACGCTCCGTAAGCAGGGATAGGTGGAGGAGGAGGTGCAGCACGGAACGTGTTGTAGACGGCCCGACCCCTCCCTCTCAAATGGGCCCCTCTATAGGCCATGGCTGCGCCTGTACTGGGGTATGGAAAACCTGTCACTGAGACACAGACACACGGCACGTTAGAATATTGACCTGTTGTTGTGATGTCACAAAGATAAAGTTTATGAGGTTCAAAACAGTGTTTCTAGAAGCTTTGGAAACAAAATGGTGTAGCAGTGAACAAGACATTATTTGTCACATTAAGGGACCAAAAAAAACCTTTAGTATCGACTGATTAACTTCACTCAACAGAAGTTTGAACAGAGTCATGTCACAACTTATTTCATTGATACATGTATTTTGTGAACTCAGGATGTAACTTTTTTTTTTTTTGAATATGGAATGTCTGTCCATCATTCTCTGACTGAGACAAAATTTTAAGTCCAAAGCAGGTGAAAAGAAGTGGACGTCTGCCCCGTACTGGACATGTTCATTAACATAAAACCACACTTGGGAGTAGGTACAGTAGGCAGTGAGGTATGAAAATGTAGTATCTATATATGTAGGTTAAGAAATCAGAAATAAGTATTTACTTAAACTTTCAACTCAAAGAGTTTTTTTTTTAAACGCTCACACCAATTAGCAAAGTCAAGTAAATTTCTTGGAAAGGAAACTGACTTTTCTTGACTGTACACACGGACCATTTTCTCCCTGTGTCTAAATGATGAGTGTTTAATTACATGGTGACTGAAGCTGTAACCCCCTCCCCCCACACACACACCCCGTAATATCATAACCATTAAAGTCAGCAGGGTCAGTCAATGAGGCACTAAAATGTAAGTGATGCCGGATTTATTGACTGTTGACTGAGTAAAGTTTTTTGTGAGGAAAAAGTACTTATTTTGCAGAAATAATCCACTCAATTGGCCGTGAATGTCAGGAAACAGACTTATTTAAATCGGCTGACTGACCCGCGCTGTGGCATATTTCCTCATTATAAAAGGTAATTACATTTACTCCGACAAAGCATATTTACTGCTGCAGTGAAGGTAATTTTTTCAGAGGAGATTGGCATGTTTTAAGATGTTGAATCATGTCTTTTTGGTTTCTTAAAGGAAATTCTGATCAGAAGAACCTGAAGGGACAGACCTGGAAATGAAAAAAGAGGGAGAAGAGAATGTGACGGAGATGAAACAGTGAGGCAGAGAGTGTGGAGGAGCACAGGGGGGAGAGTTTTGGCAGCGGCGACACAAAGCAGATGGTCTGTATTGTTCAGAGTGACACAGTCCGCCTGTGGCCATCCTTCACTGTACACACACACACACACACACACACACACAGGTCACCTGCACATGATCAGAAACATATGCATGTTTCCAGGAACAGGTCTGAGTTCATACATTGTTGTGAAAAACCAAACCAACATTTTTACTGTAAAATTCATCAACTACTCGCCTGTCTCCTGTCTGTGCCGGGTAAGTGAACACACCACACTGTATTTCACATACATTTTAGTGATGTCTTTAGACTATTAACAATGTTTGTATCAGTTTTATTGCTACTAAAAATTTGAGATGAAATTGTTGCTGCCACACGAAGTTCAAACTGATCTGTAGAGGTTTAAGTATAAAACCTCACCTTTAGGACTTTGGCTGATTTATATAAAAATGTTTTTAAAACATTATGATGTGGGAGTTGTCGTCCTCATTGTAGTTGATTACTATTTACTATTTAACTTTGATCTAAATCAACTATTTTTGGACTATTTTTAACTCAACCAAATGTCACCTTTTTATCAGACTTTTCAGTTTATTATCATCTAATAATTAATATACATTAATAAGTGTATAAGTCTATAAGTGTTAGCTGTGGGCTAATTTTGTGCTAACTTTTGGATATGATTTGCCAATTTCCAAAACAAAGATTTTCTGGTTGAATTCTGATCAAACAATAACAAACAATCAGCAGCACAATAATCAGTTCTGAAACACTCACTGATACCAGTGAACTCGTGTTACTGAATACATGAGAAAGGACACACATCGGTCCAAACCGTGCGCCTAGATTCTTTTACCTCGTGGATTAAACACCATTATTTATGTTTAACTCTTGTGGTTAATGCAGTGAGGTTTTTTTCTGTCACCTAACGTTAATCATAGTCTATCTACGGCAGTGTGACTAGTTGGATCCCAGTGTTTCTGGCATTGTGGAATGTTTCTCTTTTCCTTTTTAAGTAAAAGACCAACCAGGAGCCCGTGTGGACAGCCCAGCTCTGATAGATACAGATGAATGCATGAAAAAGAGCCTTTTTAACTCCAAACACACTGTATCTCCTCCCCAGGACCCTTAAGACCTCAGAGGGGCCCTGGATACGGATGAGTGAACCCACTGTCTGCTGGAGAAAACACACAACATGCTCCACTGCAAGTGTTCAGAGAGCGAAACGCTTTCTCCTTCCCCCTTCATCCATCTCTCTCTTTCTGGCCCGACTATAACGAGTCACACAGCCGCATTAATATGCCACACAGTCAACACAAAGTCCATTGGCAATATATTCTGAGGCAGAGATCAATTCCCACCCCCCACCCCAGGACTCTCCCCTTCTCTCCTCCCCCTCTTTCTCTCTTCCTCCTACACATACACATTACACCCCCCCGCCCCCCCACTGGTCTATACGTGTGCATATACTATATACTGCATGCATGAAAACATGCATATGTGCATGTTGCTGGTATGATGCTCAGCCACATTTATATATGTGTGCAATCTGATAATGAGCTATGGCTTGTGCACGCTCCAGCGACGCCGTAATAACCCTTGAATCATGGCAGGGCCTCGTCTTGACAGCCAGTGGGCGCCATAAAAATAAACAAACAGCATCCACTGACAAATACACACATGCATAAAGCATTACACACAAGACACTGTAGGCGCACCCCCCCCCACACACACACACGCCCACACTTTATCTGACGCGCTTGCGTGTGAATTGGAGGAGGGGGAGGTGATGAAAGTGGGCGGAGTCAACAGATGTGTATTTTTTAAAACATATTTTAATGTGCTGCCTATGCAGATGGTGTTGAGGATGTGTTCAGGTAAAAGAGCCGACTCAGCAATGATGGATGGTTTTCTACAGGGAGTGTCACAGTCAGCTAGTCATTATATATAATATATACATGCACAATATAAAAGGGGAATTAAATGATTTAAATAACACTTTTGGGGAAAAAAAGAGAGATTTTATGATCCAATACCAAACTGGCTGTAAATGTTTTATCATCATTTATCCAAAATGTAAGACCTTTAACTGTAAGATATAGGCAAGGAAAGAAAAAGCCTCAACAGTGACCCCCACAGGGAGAGCCTGATATGCTGATTTTATGGGTTTTTTTTGCAGACAAAGTTAATTTAATTTAATAATTTAACAAAATCAAAGGCTTTCAAGTTTTTTTTTCTGTCAGTTGAAGTTACTATGCATACATTTTTTTAAAAATAGATGAATTAAATATGTGTGCATCTCTGGCCTGCCTGCAGTCCAGACCTGATGACAAACAAATGCTATTTCTGCTATTTTAAAATCATCTGTTCCATATGACATTTATTTCTTTCTTTAAGTTACATTTTTAACTATTTTTTATGTATATTTGGTAAAACTGTATAACAAATCCCTGATATTTGTTTCATTATTTTCAATGTTCTGGTGGCAAAAAAAAAACAACAAAAAAACAAAACCAAAAACACAAATGCCAGAGTGGATCTAGTGCTGATTACACACTTTCCAGCATATGTTCTCATTAGGCCGGGGCCACCTGCCTCTTTACCTTTCCACCCTGCATTTTGCATTTTGATCTTATTTGTTGTGTTCTGACAGGTCCCTGTGCCAAGCTCTGCATACAGTGATTCCCATGGGAAACACACACACAGTCACACTCACACACACACACACACACTCACACACTATTTTGCATACACCAAGTCTAGGACGTAGTCAATCAATCAGTATTACATTTCCCTCAGTGTCCTTCAAGCTCATGCAGTCTATTTTGCCCAGTCTCTCTCACTCCCTCGCTCGCTCTCTTTCACACACACAACAAACAGAAACACACACACACACATACACACTGTACTTCATGTAGGACAAGGCTATTATGCAAACTCTGATAAAAACATCATTAGAGGAAGACTGCTTAATTCAGTAATATCAGATTATGCGTTTGGGCGAGTGTGTGTGTGTGTGTGTGTGTGTGTGTGAGCGGGGGGTTTCTGGTTGTCGACCTTAAGATCGCAGCAGAGATAGAGTGTCCTGTATTTCCAATTTGTCTGAATTAAACCTATTCCATTTTAATGGTGACCTTGCCTGTCTTCAGATCACGTCCACTTTGTCCTGTTAATTGGACAAAAATGACAAAAATAAAGTGGAAACAGCCACATCTCCCCTCCTCGAGTTAACGTCAATACGAACGTCTGTCGTATTTAACTGAATCCAAAGCTTTTTTTTTTTTTTTTACTTTTTGTTCAATTTTAAACTAGACTTAAATGAATAAAGACGGTCAAAGTTTTGCTCACGGAGACAACAGGATGTTTAATTAATGACATCAAACTAATAGCGTTTTAAGGTCCTCCACTATATGGCCCTGTTGGCTTCACAGTTACATTTACATTCATTTAACTTATAAATGAATGACTTGATAAGACGCCACCCACGGTACACGCTGCCAGCTCTTAGCTCTGTTCCCGTCCGTGCTGTTTGTTAGGCTGAATGATTTGTGGGCCGATCCACGCCACCTCGCCACCGTATTAGTCAGTCGCCTTTTTGTGCACGCTTGATATCTCAAGCAACGCAAGATGAATGCTGACTATTAGAGGTGGCAAATTCATCCTTGGACGCTGCCTTTAGTGTGTGTGCGCAGATGGGCTTTAATGTCAACCTGGTCGACCACTTCCTCTACTGTATATCTGGACACACTATAAATGTGTCCCATGCTAATGGGTGAGGACTCTGCAGGATTTTCTCCTGGAGATCCTGTTGACTGCGGGTGAGCTGTGTGGGCCACATATGTTCACTGTTTCACTGACTCACACCATGTCAGTTAACGTGCACCAATCATCATAGGGGCCTCTGCTCTGAGCTGACTCAGAAAGTGTCCCACCAGTGAAGGACCACCGGCTCAGCTCTGGTTGATTAGTTCACACCAACGTTTATTCAAGTAAAGATGAATTGTTTTGAACATTTTTGATCTTTTCAGGACAATTTAGAGTTAAGATTGATATCTTGGGATTAAAGGAAAATGAAAAAGTCAAGTCAAATTAGAATTTCTTTTTTTTTTGGTTTCTCAAATTTCTGAATTACCACGCATTTAAAATTCCTTCATGAACAGAAACATTACATGAATAGAGATGAGAGGCACAATGTTAGAGCGGTGCCGAACAGAGTTTACTCCTAAATCTGTGTGTTATAAACAAATATTAATCGTATTTATTTGAAAACAAACAAACAAACTAAACATGTGTCAATATGTGTCGTGCACTTGTTTTCCGTGTGTACTGTAGTCTACCGGAGCGTGACGCTACGACTGGTGTACACCTCTGCTTTCATCCTCTCACAGCAGCAGAGATGTACAACATTCATGAGCCCGCCAGTCTGGGCGTGCAGTATGTGGAGGTCATACATACACACCCATGACGGATGTTGAGGTCATCCGTCACTCCACTGAATGGGATTTGCGCACAATAAACTTGTAGCTGAGCCTAGCAATGGAGATGGAGTGCGCTGTCAGCTGGCCAGGATTTATAGGGGCCGATTCAGCTGATGGGTGCTGGGAAAAGCTATCTGATAAAAGGTGATTAATTGCCCTTACATCTCACTTTATATCCTGCTTTACTTCCTCTCCAAAATAGATTAAATGCAGTCATAATTATTCCAGAAGGAATCTTAATCCTGTGCACTTTTGCTTACAGGTGAGAATTTTTCATCTTTTTTTTCATCCTTTTTTTTTCTTTCTAAGACAGAGGTGAAAGATGAGAGGAGGGAGGGAATGAGACACACACACGGAATAATTGCAGAGTGTATAAAATGAGGACTGTATCACAGATGAATGCCAGTAGATCTAAGTCACCAGAAATGTTCATAATAGAAGAACAAAAATCCAGAGTGCAGTGAGACAAAGCTGATTTTCTGTTTTTTGTGTGTTTTTTTTCTCCTCCTTCTCCTCCTCCTACAGCTCCATCCATCTCTCCCCCCTCCTGGGAGCAAGGGAGGCATATGGTGTCGTTTAGGCTTGGCAAACTTTAGTGGTGCATTTAAGACCACTGTGACTTCTGCTGTGTGTTTGTGTGTGTGTGTGTGTTTTAATACTTCCTTCTACTTCTACTTTTAACCACTAGTGTGTTAAAGCCGAGGACACTTTGGGAATGTGGACCAGAGGAGTCAAGGTTTGGACCACCAACCATTTTCAACCTGCACCAAAACTATCTGTAGCTTGTTTTCCCCCCCTTTTTTAATTAAACCTTGGCCTGAGTTTTCAATGCTTTTAACCCACTCTAACCTACTCGTGTGAGTGGGCAGAAAAAAAAGCAATAATTAACATAAAACACATGAATATTAAACTGTAAAACTCCAGACTGATTTCATTTGAAATTCTCTGACATGGATTTTTGTGAATAACTCAACGGTTCAGGGTTTGATGCTGCAAAAACACACAGAATTATTAAAAATCTGACCCCTCTGGCTGCTACAAGCCCCACATTTTAATAACTTTACGGTTAAGAGTCAAATTATTAAGGACAGACATTTCTGATGCAAAAACATATTTGACGCCCTATCAAAATGAAGACAACCGCGTTCACAAATTAACAAGGTCTGAAGGAAGACTGCTGATAATTAAAGGGGAGGAAAACAGAACGAAACGAGTGGAAAAAACACTCAGGATGCGGCGGAGAGCGAACGGCCCTGTCCATAAATGTGGCGCTGCTGCTCCGCGGGTCTGAACATATAGGTCAGGGGGGGTGTGAGGAGGTTAATGAGCCAAAGAGACACTCGCAATAGTCTGGTAAAATGACTGGATTATTACTTTTTAAGTATGTAAATTGAATTTCGGTTAAGGGGGATGGAGAACGAGGGTAATAAAAATGTAGACTAGTGTTAAACTAGCAAAGGGTAACGGTGGCGTGTGACTGTAGGCTGCAGGTGTGCGCCGCTGGACAGATGGAACGCTCTTTTTTTTTTTGCTTTTAAATGTAGCTTTGAGGACGAGCTGTAAATGTCTGTCGTACCTGACCGAGTGTGTGTGCATAAAGAAAATGTTTCCGCTGAATTTGGGCAATTTTAGAAACATCCAGCGATGATGGTCACTCATTTTCTGGTCATTTTCGATACATTTATTAAATTCATGGTTGTTTTTACTGCTAGTGAGGAGAGAACGTGAATGAATGTAATTCATTCAGGTTTCAGTGTTGACCCAATGTACAAGGTTTATGTTTTCATCATCAGTGTTTTATACTGTACATTACATAGACATGAAAAGGGTGGAGAATAAAAAAAATCAAAATAATGTTTTAGTGTGCCTGCGTTGCTTCACTGGCTTCCTAACTAACTCGTATTGTATTGTGTGTATTTTTCAAGTACAATTCTCTGAGCTCTAAAGTCACATGGATGTGTTTTTACCTGCATAAAATTCAGGACCATATACGGCTCCAACCACTGGGTTCAGCTTCCAGCCTGAAAAAGATAAGAACAACAGGTTAGCACTGGTCCTTGAACCTGGACCTTAAACTCAGCACTGACCAACAACACGGTTGAGTTGGCTCAGTGGAACAGAAGTGACTGAGCAGCAGAGTGATTCGGTGTTAAATTATCAATGATGCTTTTACTTTAAGGGGAATTAACAGAGTTCACAAAACATTTCACATGGATGAGAGAAAAGAGTTAAATCAGCACCACGGCCAGCTCCGCCTCCTGAACACTCTTTGTAGCTTTGCTAGGCTGACAGACATAAACCACAAACAACATCAACCAAAGTGAAAATGAACACTTTTGAATTAATTATTTTTTTTAATGAGCAAACATAAGAAAAAGTTCAAATTAGAACAACAACTGGCCCAATCGATGAGCAGGGATTAGACGGGGTGCAATCTTAGAGAAGCGCTGATATGACTGACAAATATCTTCATCTCACATTTGAAGGCTAAACTCTTTTGCACAAAAGAAGAAGTTTATTAAGAAATAAACTTTTTATTTTTAGCGTTTGTTATCTACAGTCTTGACAAAACTACTTGGCAGCAACTACAAAAGTCTCTGAAAAAAAACTCTGAAAATTTGGAGGCGCACCAAATTTGGGAGTCATGTGTATTTAGTGGATATGAGCAGAAAAGTCTCACAGGAAGTCAGCAGTGCCTGCAGTGCTGCTTCTTGTTGTTTTTCTTCCATAAAAAAAGTGTGTATCTTTGAGCTGGTGTGTGTTCAGGTTTGGGACTTGATGACAGTGACGAATGGAAAACCCTTCAGGGCTGATTCTGTGTCTCTGCACTCCCGAAGAGGAAATGTGTGTTTGTGTGTGTTCATGTGCGTGTATACGTGTGTCCGTCTGGCCATTAAATTCCCTTCCTTGTCCACTACTCCCCTCCTCCTCCTCCCTGAGTTTCCACAGTCCTCATCATTCTATCCCTCTCTCTGCCTCCATCACTCTTCCATTCCGTCCACATGAATGAGTGTCTGTAGAAACAGCCTAAAGGGCCTTCGCTCCCTCTTTACAAATGTCTGCTGGCTCTCTTTATTGGCTCTTTTCATTTACCCATTCACTCTCTCAGCCATTTACCAAATTCTCCTCGTCACTCTACTCAAAAATCCCCTCCTCTGTCGACACTTTCCCCTCTTTTTGCCCTTGTTGCCCTTTTCCCTTTATCTCAGCATGAATAGATTTGCCTGATATTTCAAACCAAGTCGACTGCCTCTCTGACAAATATTGATTTTATTAATCAAATGCTAACAACTGCTTTTTGTGCGAAGACAGAAAGCGCTGCCTGCCTTTTCCATTTGCAGATTTTGGTTTTCCTTCCCCCCTTTTTACAGTGCCAGCTCAATTGCTAGAATTGGGTCATGATGATTTACTTCTTCTCATAAATACAGCCATAAGATCTGCTGCCCGTTAACGTTTGCCAAGTCTGATGCTGACAGTGAAAATGATGGGGGAGAAAACTAACGTCTGAGGAGCAGCGGTTGCGGTCCAGCCATTAAATCTTAAGTCCGAGTGCAGGTTTGAGCCTCCGGTCGTTGAATGTGAAACACCAGAGTTTCAGGCCCTCATTACCTGACTCAGTGTCTGTAACACTGGGGGCTGTGAAAACTCGTCTGCGTCCATGTGATTGCACTTGAGTAATGTTATCATTAAGATAACAATCATTAATTCAGCCAAAAGCTGATGAACCCAGAAACTCTTGTTGTACAAGTGTAAAAGTTCTTCTTTTGGTCTGGTGGATTCAAGGCAAAGTTTTAAGACATGCACCGACACGTTGCAGCCACATGAGGCCGAGGATGTGGTACAGAACCAAAAATAGGATGTAAATGAAAATATGACTCAGGACAGGAAGTTGCATCAGCATACTTAAAACTACTTATTCTTTCTCTTCTTCTTCTTCTTCTTACAAATGTTAAAAAGCTTTCAATTAAAACAAATCCAAAATGTTATTTTGCACCGACCCCCCCCCCCCCCCAAAAAAAAAAAAAAACAACCAAAAAAAACATAATTTGATGTGAGTCCTCACCCCTATGGTGATCGCCCCCCATTTTGGAACCCACCTTATCAAAGGACAGCAAAAATCACAAGATTCGATTAGATGAAATGTAAAAAGAAAAAACAAAGAATACTCACCATTTGTGTACGGGTTTGCCACCTTCTTGTTGGTCATTACTCTGGCTGTGGCATTGTTGACCTGTCAGCAGACAGACAGAGATTAATTAGTGTAAGCGGGGGTCACACATGCACCCGCCTACTCTATGCTTACGCACACACTCACACAAGCAAAAACTGTGCAACGACAATAAACCACCACACCAACATTCTCCATGCCGTGCTGGAATCACTACATTCCGCCTCAGCAACTGAGGCTGCATGCAGCAAATCAAACTTAACGGTACACAAACACAGTACGTTCTAGAACATGTTCTCCAACCTGAACACACACACACATCATCAGCTTCTAATAGGAGCATGAGAACCACAATTGTAGAATAAATATGACTAAAACTATTCCAGTTAAAAAAAAAAAAAAAAATTCCACTAAAATAATCAAGATAAATGATTTATGTCAAATGTAAAACAAACAGCTTCCAAATAGAAGACGTGGAAGTCAAATGTAATTTAAATAAAGATTAAAAATAGTAGCAAAATGAAAATATATATTCAGCACCAGGTTTAACAGGACGGTGAATTAAGTGGTAAATTAGAAATAAACTTTTTTGTGTCATCAAACAAAATAAATAAATGAAAGGAAGGTAAACAAAACAAAGAATAAACCAATCAAAACATTAAGGTGAGAAACAGACGTAATAATTATGATTAAAAACACATTAACAGACAGAAAGATGACAGAAATGAATCGACTGAGTTCTGCAAATAAACACAGGACGGTTCCATCAGGCGGCTCAAATATTTATTTACAATTTATTTCTCAGGATGAAATGCGTCAGAGTGGACCTGCGGCCGTCAAGATGGTTAATCTTGAGCACGGCGTAGCCTCAAAGAACGTACAGAAACCATAATGCAGTGCCACTCAGGATTACAGTCTTTGTCATTATGACAAAAACAAAGAGTCCTTAAGTTCTTATATGCATTATCTGTCACTGACAAGGACTTTTTTTAATAAAACAAAGACATTAAAATTTCAAGTCCACTGAAGTGCTGAGAAGCAAAAAAAAAAAAAGAAGACATTCTCTGCTTTGATTTGAGGGCAATGATGTTTCCCTGATTGTCATTGGAAATAAGTGATGATTAACGTAAATTAAAACCCACTGGACTGCACACAGCTACACCAAAATGACAAAAGCCATCATAATCAAAGCAGAAGTCTACATTTGTGCTAAGAAGTAAAAAAAAAAAGACACTGCGGCACACACTGACATACCACTGAGTAGAGCTGTCTTTCTCTTTGTCACACACACTTACGGATCAGGGTTCGGCATGCAGTTTTCAAGGTGCAGCAGGCAGGTGGGAGAGAAGAAAGGGATGCAGGAAGAGAGGGAGGGGAGGGAGCACTGCAGAAAACGCCAGGCAGGCAGAGAAAGGGGAGAGACAGGGTCAAGGAGGAGGAGAAGAGGGGGCGCAGGTAAGGAGAGACAGGAACAGGCAGGCACCTCTATTTTCCGTCCTTCTACGATTGTACCATTTAGTTTCTCCCGTGCACGATCGGCATCTGCACTGGTTTCAAATGTTACAAACCCAAAGCCCTGCGGTGGCCGGGAGGTGAGGGGTGGAAAAGGGCGGACGGGGCGGAGGAAAGCAGGGGGTCCAGAAATGAGAGGATGAAAAGAAACAGAGAGAAGGAAAAAGAAGAGACACAAAGCACAGATGAGAGAGCTGCAGGTCAGGAGGAGGTCTAGTTCTAGAAGCAGAGGCCAGTGAGACGTCAAGCTGTTAGACAAACAGCAGAAACACAGCTGCAGTCGGAGTGAGAGAAGTTAGAAACAGGAGAGCAGTCAGAACAACACAACAGTACAGTAGGTTACACACACACACACGGACAAACTACACACACACACACACCACACAGAAGAGTTGACGTGTTTCATCACTAAGCTATAAAAACTTCAACCTGTGACCTGGTGATTCAACAGAACGTGACATTTTCAGGCAAAAAGAGAGAAAAAAAAATCTTTAAAAAAAAATAAATCTATGATTTCACTCAACAACCATATTCTTTATTCTCATTTGTTCCCACATTTATTTTGTTTGCAAGACAATCATTTTTAATATTTTTATGAGAATTATTAAAGAGGTGGATGACTGAACAGTCTGATGTTCCTCTTCAATATGAATGAATGATCAGTGGTGCCAAAACTTTTTTGTACCAAGGACCGTTCAGCTGGCAACGGTCCTCACTGCACCGATCACTAAAGGATCATTACATTTTCAAAATAAAACCTCTCATCTTTTGGACTTTATTCTGTTAGTATCAGTACATTTCTTCACTGTGTCCCACTGCCACCTGGTACCAAATGACCTACGGACCAGTACCAGTCCACAGACCGGGGGTTTAGGACCCCTGATCTGGACTGCAGGCAGGCTAGTCTATGCCCTCACAAATCCCTTCTGCAAGGGCTGTTTCCATTTTGGTATAAAATAGACTCAGCATTGTTTTTAGTCAGTTTGTAGCTAAAGTAACGTTGTAGTTTCTCACAGAAAACCACAAGAGGGCATCAAGATCATGCATATTTAGCAGTGGTTTCTGTCTGGCCTCTGTTCAGAGAGGAGTAAATCTGATGCCTGTAAAAAAAATGTCTAAAAAAAGTTTCTCCACACAACAGCCAAGCTACAGCCTGACCCATCAACTGATCTGCATGAACCTGAGGATTTCTAATTTTCTATACATTAAAAAAAATATATATTTTTGTGCTTCTCTGCCTGTGTAAAAAACACTGAGGTGAAACACCAGGCCACAGATTTGTAGTTTTCTTTTGTTGCCTTTTCTAAAAGTGTAACAACGTTTCCAGGAATAAAGTGTAGCATTGAGCATAGTGTGCAGTTACAGTGCAACTAATCACTCACTCACACACACAGACACACACAGACACACACAGACAGAGAGTGTGTTGTTTGGGACGTCCATATGTTAGGCTGTACACTGTGCCCATGTGGTACAGTGGCTCTGCTGTGCTGATTCCCTGCGGGAGAGCAGATAAGTGCCGTACGATTACAATCTCCCCAGGATCAGTCAGCCGTGACTCTCTGTGCCCCAGGACGCAGCTGCCTCTGTGTCCCCGTCCTGGAGTCCAGGCTGAGTTGAGTTGAGAGTCTGAAGAAGCTAAAACATGCCTGTAAGTGCTAAACTACAGAGCTGAGCCTTTATATGTCAATGAGCTTAAAGTAGGCAGAGAGCGGGATGGAGCTGACTCCCCTCCCCCTCACACCCTCCCCCACCTCTGATCACTGCCTTACAGCTGGTAATGATGAAGAAGGTCTGACTGTTATCAAACGGACAAAGACTCACACTTTCAACACAGTTTCAAATGTGTGTGTAAATATTTCTATAATGTATTGACGTTCCTTCATTATTCTAAATGGAACCCAGATTTGTGTTGTGTCTTTTCTAAAGGTTCTATGTCCCATTTAGTTGAACGCACCTCGATACTCTCTGCTCTTTGACCCAAATTAATGACGGAAAAAATCTCAAGTTGAAAAGCTTCATTTGTTGCTTCAAAGTTGTTTGCTTCTTCTGTATTTTTTAAATGATGGGCCATAAAAACAGACTCTACTACATTTTTCAAACTGTGGTTCGTCACCCACAAGTGGGACGTGCAAAACCTAATTTTTAGGACCAGATTCTATCTGAAAGTCCAAATAGGAACTTTTTGTGTTTTTGTTTTGGGCTTTTTCGCAAGATTTCTCTGTTCAATTGTATGCTGCCATCTTGAGTCTCATGTCCAGCTAGTTCTTAATGTAAAAAGAAAACTTTGAACATGTACCACAAGTGCTTTTGTTAGGTACCTTTGAATACTACATTTAAGAGAAAACAATCTTTATTTGTGAACCGCTGCAGACACATATGTGGACGGGTGTAAAAGAATGGATCTCTGAGTTTTCCAGGTGATGTGACGGTGGTTGCCGGTCATTATACCAACCTCACAACTAGGTGTGTTAATTTATGTGCTCTGCAGCCAACGATTACTCACTCTGTTGCTTCCTTCTACAGCCTAACCTGCGCACACTGCAGGAGCCACTGAGATGAAAATTATTAGCATATATAGACGGTGATAAATCAAAATGAAGAACTGTCACCAAGTGTCTAAGCAAGCTGTTGTTACACAGAGAAAGACTGGGAACAGCTTCAGTGCACACACTTACATGAACAAGGTTGTTCACTGGAGTGTGTGGAGGAACAACATTCTTCACACAGATAATTTCTCATTTGTCTGATAAAGGTTTCTCCACCTGTCCAATAGCTGCTGAGCCCAAGTGTAATTTCACTCTGTTGTCATCGCCACAGAAATGGAGGCCTCTCTGCCCAAAGTGTCACAGAGTCACAGAGTTTGTTTTCTCTGTTTTAATTTTAAATATATATCGTTTATTTTATTGTGATAACTGGTAAAAATTGATTAATTAAACGGAAATATACTTAGTAAATAAAGATCACCTCACAGTGATAGCCCAAACAGACTGCAGGGGGCACACTTGCTGTCTGTTCAGTTGCATGCTTCTAATTATGAAATGGAAACTATATGTACAGATTCAAATATTGTTTAGTCGACTGTTTCATATCAACTATTCATTAGTTGTTCTAGAAAGAATATTCTCTTTAGGCTGAATGATTGCAGTTTTCTGCAGCTGTAAACAGTCAAAAGACTTTTTTTTTGGGTTAAACTTCTGGTATTTCATTTCTGGGCGTCACCAACTACTCCGGAATTTAGGCTTCAAGAATTATGAATTTTTATATTTTTGGAGTCTGCATTTGAAAAGGTGAGCATTTGTTTATTGTGGTATTACTGGAATACTGTAGTCTCTTCAGATAATGTCTCAAAATGAATGACTTGGAAAATATTGTGTCCTTCACCATCATACAGTCACAGTGGTAGTTGTTCCTAATTTGTCTGATCCGTGAGATTTTGACAAAACTGTCTGTAATATTACAAGCCATCAGAGTCAGATTCTTTTTTTAATAACCAACACTAATAATCAAATACAGATATTTTGACAACACTGTAACAACCCTGACTGTTTCATACACAGGTCACATGATGCAGCC